TTTTTTTTTTTTCTTTTGTTGCAAAAAGTGTTTTAAATATCTGTAATATTGCAATTTAGAAGAAAACTTTTATTAAATCTTTGTATAATTATTTCAAGATGAACACTTTAGATGATTTTTTGATGATAAATTATGAACAACTGACAATTCTGAGAAACATAATTATTTTCTAGAGGAAGAAACTATCGGTTTATTCTCGGCAGTTTATTTTTAACAGCGTTCCTCTTCGCGTTCCTCTCTGGTTATTAATTACGGTCATCGTTAAGTCTATACTGCGGAGTTTGTAAATATTCACCCTCGTCGTAAGTATAATTACATATTTATGCACAACTGTGGACGTTACGATCAGTTTCGAAGAAAGCATAGTTGTCCCAACGTATTGCCGCTTTTCCACTCGCTAGAAAGTTATTTTCGATTTGTCCCAAAGTACGTTTTTAATATGTAAAACTCCCATTTCTTGGTCGTGCTCATTTGGTTAATTTTGTGAACCTTAACATATGGCATACCTTGCTTTGACAAACAATCTGTTACAAAAGAACTCTGACAACGGTGGGAGAGAAGTGCGAAGGAAGGTTCATATCTCAAGGTAAGCCATCGACCGTCCGTCTTCAGGAACTTCAAGTTCGAATTCTTTTCTCCTTCTCTCTCTCTCTCTCTCCCTCCCTCTCTCTTTCTCTGTCTCTCTCTCTCTCTCTTGTTCCATCCGCACCATCCTCCCATCCGCTCCCCACCTTCTTCATTTCACTCGCTACGTCACGGTGACACACTTCTGGCTGAAATTCTTTTTTCAGTTTGTTTCACCTTCCTTCCTGCCACGGGTTCAATGATCCATCCGAAACCGTGGATCTGAGTCTCCGGTGGGCGGGTGGCCGGGCGGACGGGCACCGCTAGTAGGACACCGTCCTCAATAGCTCGAAAGTATGTAGTAGTGGATGTCGGTGATCTTTACGAATATACTATCGACCTGCATACCTTCTCTGTGATGGGTGTCTCGGTCGGATGAACGGGTGGCTCATTATACTCGAAAATATAGCACCTAGAGCTGACGCGAAAATCGCCTATGACAACGGGGTGGGTGGGCGGGGGCGGCTCGTGTGCCAAACATCAAGAACGAAAACCCTCTTCACCTCAATTAACACCGGCGCTGGTAGTGGTGACGCCGGTGGTAGTGGTGGAGCGACGGTAGTAGTGGTTCGTAAACGCTACACGCGAGTTGATATGTACTCGTCCTCTTTACGTGCAAAACGACGCTAGATCGCGAAATTAGTTTGTAACGCGTAAAGAGTGTCATTTGAGCCTATTGACCTATAAATAATTTGCACTCGGGCAAAAACGTGTTGTATCAACGGCAGGGATCTTCAATGAAACGTATCTCTTATTAATTCGATACGCCTTTATAAAAAATGAGATTTTTCAAATCATTTGTTATAAATGTAGCGAGTGTTTTTTTTCTATATATTTAATACAAATATCTATTTAACAAAACAAGTACATGATTTTTTTAAGTAGTACAGTTTACGAATTGATGCGCCGCTACATTTGAACGCTCGTTTGTACTTTAATATCATTAAAACTCATTTACTTGTTTGTAACTTGTTTACATATTTCTTTTTGCAGATCACGCATCTCGCTCTTTATTCTGTTACAATGCGACACAAAGCTTGCTGTTTTTGCATCCACGAGAGATTTCCAGATATCACGCTGAACGCACGCTGAATGTGTGCGAAATAACAATTCGCTACGATACGCTTGACGGGTTGCTCATTGTACCGCCCAGTGACGTGTGGTAGTGCAGAGATGAGACGGTAAACGGGCTGTCTCCTAGCTGGTACACATTGTGCCAGTGGTTGGTCTACAACAGCCAGAGCAGACAGCCAGATACCAGCGACGGAGGAAGTGGGTTTCATTAGTAGTGGTGGTGGCGTCAGCGACGGTGGTGGTGCTTGATGCCTGGTGCTGGTGCTGGTTGCTGCTGGTGGTGGTAGTAGTGAGTGCACGGCATATTTCGCTTCTCTTTGTAAGTTCACAGTATCACACATCTCGCCGCTGCTCTCACGGGCGAGCTACACCTTCCTTCCTACGTTCGGACGTGCCGCGCGGACCTCGTTCTCACTGCCGTTCCTCTTCTTCTTTTTTTCTTCTTTTTTTCTCTTCCGATTCACTTCCGCAAATGCCGTCCGTTGACTTGTCCGCTATCCGTGTGCCAACGAAAAGTGCGCGCTGTTGAACGCCGGCCGCGTAAACGACACATAAAAACGCGGCGTCGAGACGAAAAGCCGGAGAGCATAAAAAAAATAAACAAATAAATAAAAACTTGTGCCAATTGTCGCTCACGTACACTGCCCTGGATCGCTTTCACGGATAGTTCTACGTACGCGCGAACGCGGAAGGTCGCACGCGTACGGTCGCTCCGGAGTTGGTGTGATTGACAACTTTTTTTAACGTTCATCGCTGTCACGTTCATATGACCAGGTAATGTAAATTTCTAATAATCAAAATTTATGTCAGAGTATCTGCTAATGTCTTTTAATCGTTGCATAACAGTAATATTAATTATTTTGAAATGTTTTCTCATAAAAATAGTGTAATGTTTAATTTCTGAATGATATAATTAAAAAACAGATTATTAACGTTATTAAATAACAACCTATACGCCAAAAACGCGCGCGCACATGAGAAGATATATAGAATATTGTTTCAATTTTCTCATTAAAGTACATGCTGTGCTTATGTCACTAAATGATAGTACATTGAGAGATAACATTTTATGTTTTTTTTTTTCTTCTAATTCTACTTCTTTTATAGATATTATAATATTTTTATTTTCAATGTGTTCATTCTTACTTTGACATGTTTAAATTAATATCGAATAATATTTAGAATAAAAAGAATGATTAGTCTTGATTGCATTTCGCTAAATTTATCACAAGTACATTACGACTTGCAGAATGTATCGCGTGCTATTTTTTCTCATCTCTATTTATGGGAGTATCCGCGGAATGCAATTCCCCAACAAAGGAGACGTGCCTCGTCAATATCATCCGCGTTATTTAATGTACGAGGAGCCGTACAACATTGAGTTTAAGTATCACAATTACGAGCAGATGAGCCGCTTTCTTCGCGCGACATCTCTTCGATTTCAAAATCTGACGGCTTTGTACTCGATAGGAAAGTCGGTGAAAGGTATGGTCCTCTAGTTATGTCGATAAAAAATTAGTGCAAATAAGCATGATTAAAGAACAAACATCCTCGATTTCGCTAAACACAACGTGAAAAGAATATCAGTGTTAAATTTTTTTTTATATCTGTAAATCAATTATGTAATAGAAAATATTCGATATACTACACATTGATAGTTTATGTATAGTAAAATCCATAGATATATATATATTATAATAATTTATGAGAAACTAAACGTGATAGAAAAAGAAGAATTATATGATTTTGAACTTGGTTAAAAAATCATTGATAAAATTTCAGAAATTATGCGGAATAGTATTTAAAAAATAGAAATTTGATATTCACAGATTTTTTATTCAAAGCAATGGAATATTAATCAAATAATGTTTGTACAGGTCGCGATTTATGGGTGATGGTAGTATCATCGTCGCCTTACGAGCACATGATCGGGAAGCCCGATGTAAAGTATATCGCTAACATACACGGAAACGAAGCTGTGGGACGCGAATTAATGCTACATCTCATTCATGTACGTAATTATCGCGCCAAGCGTTGGAATTTCCACTTTACATTACACTTGTGTGCGATGATGAGCGTATATCCTTTACAATTCAAATGACTGTGCTATTTCGTGAAGCAAGATTTATTCACATAAGATTATTTTTGATACATTTTCATTGAGTACGTAAAAAAAAGGACAAGTTTTTGTTTGACAAACAAAGAGTGACAATGTATTCCTAAATGTAATCTTATTTCTTTTCTTTTTTTCTTTAGTTTCTCGTGACATCATATGGATCAGATGCATATATTACATGGTTATTGGATAATACAAGGATTCATATTTTGCCATCAATGAATCCTGATGGCTTTGAAGTTTCTAAAGAAGGACGCTGCGATGGCGGTCAAGGCAGGTTAGATATTTAAATAAACTATTTCTGCCTTTCACTGTTTAAACTGTTTCTGCCTTTTATTGAATAATTTTGTTTCTGCTAAAGATGCTTCGAAGTGTTAAACATTATATTATCATTTTTTTATTTTCTACAAAAAGAGGAAGGAAAAAATCTAAATCCTTGATTTTTACATCTGTGTTTTGAATAGGTATAACGCGCGTGGCTTTGACCTGAATCGAAACTTCCCCGACTACTTTAAGCAAAACAATAAAAAAAGTCAGCCGGAGACCGAGGCTGTTAAGGAATGGGTCTCGAAGATTCAATTCGTGCTGTCGGGCAGTCTGCACGGCGGTGCGCTTGTAGCCAGCTACCCCTTCGACAATACTCCAAATTCGCGTAAGTTGAATTTCCTTAAAATTTTACCATTGCGCGAGGCAATCGTTAAAATACGGATCTACGGTTCGTTCAATCGCCTATCTGAGCCACAAAATGATCACAACATAGTGCTGTCGTGTCATTCTGTATGAGATTATTCCGAAGTAAAGAACGTTTTATTATGTTTCGAGTGTCTTCCAGCAACGGAAGCCGATTTTAACTGCCCGATTTCGATAACTCGTTAACGTTCCGTTTATGTAAGATTACAGACAGCTATGACTATAACTGCGCATAGCTTTGAAGCTGTCATGATATTATGTAAACTTTCATGCCGTCAGGAATATGTCGATCAGCGCCACTATGTGCAGGTATTGTGCAATATATGATTTATTTTATTGTTAGCATCTACACACAGTAGTCAACGGCATTATCATTTACTTTCAAACCCCAAAAAGTATGAAAAATATATAATTATTCCTAATATCAGATTTTCAACATCTTTTCAATATCTTTCAATAAGAAGATTGGCTCAGGTGATCTTAAAGAAGTAAATGATAAAGTCTACGGTTTCTTAGGCGGTTTCGTTTGGCATGAAATGCGTGCATCCTTGAACGGCTTTGCTCTAACAAAAAAAGAAAGGTGAGACATAGAAGAGATGATTAGAGAGAAAAAAGAAGGAGATGATTTCTCGTGTAAAAGTGAAAACTATAGGCGCCTGGATATTTTCGTCGAAAAAAAAAAAAAGAAAGAAAGGGACACAGATTCCGAATCGGGCAAGAAAAATTTGTAAAGTGAAAGGAATTTGGTGGTTTTGGGACCGCCTGTAGATTACACAAATCATCTTCGTGCTAACGGGACAGACGAATATTCATCGTTTAAACAGTAACAGTCTCATATAGAGAGAATAGTGTTTCAGAGTTTTACGTCGACGCCGAGTATCTCGCCGGATGATGACGTATTCCAACACTTGTCGTTGACGTACTCTCGAAACCACGGATCCATGTATCAGGGATTACCGTGCTCGCCGTCGCAGCCCGCATTTAAGCGCGGTATCACTAACGGTGCTGAGTGGTACCCGCTTACCGGTGGCATGCAGGACTTCAACTACGTATGGAACGGATGTATGGAAATCACCTTGGAACTTTCTTGCTGCAAATATCCGCCGGCTTCAGATCTACCGCACTACTGGGAGGAGAATAGAGCGGTAAGAACTTGCAATAATAAGTTTAATGCTTTAAAAATACGTATATTTTATTCAAATATAGCATGCATATATTTATCTTGCATTTAATAATACTTCTTTAATGTATATATCTTGCATTGAAATATTTCTTTCTTTTTATAAAAGTATGCTGTTGAAGGTACGCATTGATGCATAATTTATGTTTCTTTTTTTTTAGTCACTGATCAAGTTTCTGTCAGAAGCTCACAGAGGTATTCATGGTTTTGTTGTCGATGAAAACGGTAATCCTATTGAGAGAGCATCCGTTAAAGTGAAATCACGAGATGTTAGTTTTTCGACGACTAAATACGGCGAATTTTGGAGAATCTTGTTGCCTGGCATTTATAAATTAGAGGTATGCTAATAATATAATAGTAATCTTTTTTAAATACCAGCGAAAGTCACTATTTTCTCATATTAATAAAGCATAAAGTTAGTGACATTTAAAAAATGTATTAAAAGCAACGTTATTTATTCGTTGTATTATCATGAATTCAATATATTATGTATAGGTATTCTCGAACGGATATGTACCTCGTGAAGTGGAATTTATGGTAGTCGAGCAACACCCGACGCTCCTCAATGTTACACTTTACTCGTTGAAAGTAAGTAATGCCAGTAGCAAATGCAGTGGAAGAACGATATTCGCGATTTAATATTTGCTATTATTTTTTCACGAGCTAATATTTGCTCATTCGTTAAATTTCTTTTCAATTCAATTTGACAAAACAGTTGATTACATCATAAAATCTATCGTTAAATGTTTTTGCAATTCTATATATATACCTATTATTATTTTATAAATTAATATTAAAAAATTTATATTAATTTATTATTTATCGTATTGGAAACAGAGGCAGTACGATGAAGAAAACGGATCTATTTTATTTAACGGAAACACCGGCGGAAGGCCATACCCGCATCGAGAGCACACGTTACATTACCGACCACAATCGGGAGTCAATACCGCGGCCGATGCCAACAGCGGTATCTTCTCGTCTATCAGTAACGGATTTAACACCTTTGTGAGCAATCTCTTTGGATAATCTCGTTGCGCGCGGATATTTAATCATTTATTCTATATTATCGTGTAAAATAGAGGAAATCGAGTAAATGGTAAGTTTAGTCTATCTATACTTTGGAAATGTTGGTGCAAACAGATGTTGATTCAATTAATGGGCAAAATACTGCCAGACAATATCTCATAGTGTGAACTATCGCATGTTAAGTTTGATTTAATCCCTATGAAGTATTTATATAGTCGCCAAAAATATATATTAAGACGTACTTTTTATTGTATTTATAAAAACAGAAACGGAGACTATTTTTATTGTACGCAGTCAGCAATACATAATGTAATATAGTACCTGGTATCTGCAGTACCTAAATGTTACATAGAAGTTATAGTTAACACAATCACGAAATATCTTCCTTCAGATAATAAACTCGTTAATCATAATCAATTTTTGTCTCTATTGTTTATTGGCGATGACTCAAGTATAATTGTTAGTTAAAAAAAAAAATAGTAAACACGCTAATTGCTAAATTGCGCGATTGTTTGCGCAATAGCTGTGATCCACGTTGCTGCGGCATACGCTCCTGCATCCACTTCTGTTAAATATTGAGCTTGTTTTATGTAACTAGCTCGTCCCACTCTATAAATAAATGCATCCCCAAGTTAAATCTTTTACTACGGAAGATAGTTAAATTAAAAGAAATTGACACAAATTTGTACCTCTCAAAATTAGATTTCTTTTATTTTCAAAATGCAAGATAACTTAAATATAAAAAAAAAAATAATTTTTTAATTATAATTCTTACTCACATGGGTTTCATATTTTTCGTAGAATCGCATCCTTTCCGTGCCGCCGCAATTATTTTCTCATAAAATTCACTCGGATATGCGTTTAACAATTTTTCATACATCTTAAGTGTCGCATCCATTGTGTCAATCTAAGTATATTTTTTATATTGTAGTTTTCTTTTAATTTATATAAGAATGAATGAAGAAATATTTTTATTATTACAAACTTTATTCTTACAAACAATATAATGTAGATGGAGTATAAATACTAACCATTGACCTGTTTCCAGCCTTCGCTTTTCCGTATTTCTCCAAACAGTTCAGTCCGCTGCGAAACGTGCAAAACCAGATATATCGCAGATTTTCTTTGTTTGAATAACTTTGTTTGAATAACGTCAATTCTTTCGCGCCGGTCGTGAAAAATAAACAGTAGAGAGCTCCAGAAGTCCCACCCATACATTCCTCCGCTATATTCGCTATTTCCGACAATAATGCCACTGGATGTGATAGAGACAATTCGTCCAAATTATTCAAGATATCTGTAAATACATAAAATTATTCTTACAAGCAATATAACGATACAATAAAATTAGTGAACTTATTGAACGCTTACGATAGAGGCATTAACATCGGTAATTTTCCAATATTAAATATCAATACTATTTTCTTCAATATAGCAATATTGTAATATTTTTTTAACGTGCACGTACTATCGGCCAATCTTTTTAGTGTCGAACCGCAGTCTCCGTCCCCGCAACCGCGGTCGAGCTCGTTGAGGTGCGTCTCCTTCTCGATAATAGCTGTACATGCGTTTTTCAAACATAATTTAATTAAACCCTGCTCCCGATCGTTTAAGGATATCCCTGTCTTCTCGACTTTCTTCCTTTCCGCGGTTTTAAACGGGGTGCGTGTAATAGTCGAAGGGATGCTATAGCTGCGGCCTGGCCAGCAAGGTGCCATCGTTTCGTCGTCAAGACACTTGACAAATGTATCCCTGTGACTTTCGGTCAATCTTAACAAACTTATATGTATACCGGCGCTATTCAAAGATGTCATTAAAACGCCGGAATATACGCGAACAGGCTCTATGTTCTTATTCCCTGCATCACAAAAGATGTAATATTATTACAAGTAAATTATTTTGTTATATAACATTGTAGCAAAAACTACTATAAATAAAAGATTTATAAAAATGAGTTAAATTACAATTAAAAAAAAGATTCATAATGATAACAATTGACAATAATTGTCTCAAAAGTAAAAATCTTTCACGAAGATTCGAAATTTTTAAAGTTTATAACTATTTTTCGAAAATGATACGCCACATAAAACTAGTTCCATAGCTATTAAATGTCTCCTGTTTTACAATTCTTTGTTTTAACATTTTCTATTTTTTTTTTTTTTTTTAGATTCGACACTTTTGAAGATATTAATGTGCCGCACGTTAAACGGCTCGTACTGTGTACAAGACAAAATGGAGATAATAAAGGTCACTCACGAAGTTGATTTACAATCTCATAAACGACGATTCCCTGCTCCAGTTGGCTTAAAGCACCGAAGTTATTAACTATCACTGCGACCGAGTCATTAGCAGCTAAAGATAAGGCCTCGCAAATGCGCTGCAACATTAGCGCTACCAATTCGGACGCGGTTTTGAGCTTGATTCTCTCATATCCCGCCTCTCCGTGCACACCCATCCCGCATTCTATCTCGTCCTGTGCAAGCTCGAACATCAGACCTTGACCTGCATTCAATTTTCATTCACAGTCAATAGCATACAATTCTAAAGTAATCGCGATATTCTGCGATGCGTGAATCGATCTCTCCTCAACAAGAATTGAAACGTTGACAGCGTTCAAGTCAGAAGCAAACTCGACTTTCTCAAAAAATGACTCATGTAACACAATATTATCTGATATTTTCACGAGATTTTGAATATTTTTTTTCAGAGAAGTGACTGAGCAACAACAATGGAGGACGTAATTTTTCGAGGTCTGACAATCCACCGGATGGAAAGAGTTGCGTACAATTGGTGCTTGCCCGTGTGTAAAACGATGCGGGCGATTTTCACAATCTCCCATTTAACGGTAACTTGCATGTTTGTCACGTACCTGGTATGGCGCAGGCGGACAGCCCGACCCCGAAAGTTGCTGTGTTTTGTGAAACGCATTGCGCAACTTCCGCTACTTCACGCAAGGGAGATCCTCTTTCGGCGAAAGCGCCGGCGATTTTGATAACGAATAACATGCCCACCAACCCGCGTCCACCGGCGACGCTCTGCTCATTCTCAGGAATGCTACAGTCGTCGCTGACAATTATTTCCTCCACCTGTGATATTTTTCGAACGTTTATTTTAATACACTCGCAATTTTAATTTGTCTAAACTGTGTCATTTTTGCAGGACAGACCATTTTTGTTAATCTTACCTTGGCGCCCGCTTGTTGAGCCTTCTTGATTGCTATACCAAAATTCAGACGATCTCCCGTATAATTAGGCACCACGACTAAAATACCAGCTAAAAGATATCAATACAACGTTAGCAAGAAGCTTTTATACCAGAAAGGATCTTGTTAAATTTGTATGAAGAATAAATATAAGATAAAACCTTCGTTATTCTCTGCGATGCACTGAAGAGCATGTGTGATGTGTATAGACGGTGGTGCTGCAAAAATGGATCCCGCTATAGAAGCCGTCAACATGCCGCTCCCAACAAAGCCTACAAATATGTAAGAAGTACTATTGTAGTCAAATATTGACAAAAATTCATGAAACAATAGGTACACTCTTATATGTATTAACTTTTATGATGCCTTTATGATACTTTTATGATACTAATCTGCACATTTTTATGAGCATGAGAATTAATTACCTGCAGCAAATGGTTCATGTCCGCTACCGCCACCGCAAATCAACGCCACTTTATCTTTACGATCCCTGCACTGAAGGATATATAAATAGAAGAGAGAAGTGTATTATTTATAATAAAATTACATAAATGGATTAATCTTTTGGAATGGCGTAATAAGGAAACTGCAAGAAAAACGATTGAGTGATCTATATAAAAAGGAACAAAAATTTCTTTAAAGATATAAGTTTTCACAAATTAAAAATAAAATTGTGAAAATTAAGAATCTTAAAGTATTTCACACATGGAAAGAAGTTCCTTTTTTTATCTTTATGAATATCTAAATATTTAAATAATAATTTAAATGTAAAAATGCCAAAAGAAGAAGCATCTAATAACTAATTTAAATACTTAATATAAAATTGAAATATATAATAATATATCTAAACAGATTATTGTATTAAATATGAAAATTTTAATCTATAAGAATAATTTCTTATTTAAGAATTTAAATTTGTAGCAGACAGAAGAATCGCTCTGGACATCAAATGCTCGAAGTACGTTCCTGTTATTATCGCAACTCGATCACGACCAAGTAATGGAACTAATTGTACGCAGCTATGCATAGAAGCGTTTTTTTTATATACATACATCTGGCGACAGCACGACTCTGTGTGATACGTAATGTTCTAATTGCGGATATGCGTAAGATAATCCCGATAAAGTTTCCGACACGGTACTGTCTAGTGAATTAATCAAATTCTTCGACGTTGCCATTGTAATACACGATCATCAAATGGACGCACTGATTGACCGCGTCAAAACACTACAATCACTATAAACTTCTTTCAGCCCTGATCTCTGCTTTAAGATAGGTTATCGGAACATTTCGAGTGACGCAGAGTATGATAACTAAGATCTGTGACGAAACTGACATTACGTTTAATTCTTTGCTGTTCACTGGCGCGTGGAACGCACGTAACAGTCGTAGAATGAATGATTTACATTTATGACTTTGTGCTCAAGCATTTCTTAAATCGACAATTACAAGGAGCATTAAAGAGGTACATACATGAGCATTTGCAAATTCTATCATTTTTAAAATAAATTTCTTTAAAAGAATTAACTAAACAATTTTTTTAATGTACTCTCAAAATGTTGATAATTAAATATATTGAATTTCTGTCCAGTGAAGTTTACTCGAACTTGAATAAAAAAAAGAATATATCTATTTAAAATTCATGAAAATACTATAGCATTATTTATAGAAAGATTTTTTAGAAATGTATATTTTAATTTATATTTAGATGTAATTCATATTTTTCAAGTAAGACCATTTTCTCAAAGACTTAATATTTTATCGAAATATATATCCGAATTTTTATTTTTTGACCTTCTGTTCAATTAAATTTTATGATTATTAAAATCTTGATATATAATATTAAATTCATATTTTGTATGCATGCCGGTTGCGCTAAAATTCATTCGTTATAGCGCCACTTGCAGCGCTTCTACCTTATGGTATTGACATCTTTCGTTAATTCTACTAAATAATATTAATTAAACATTTTGCAAAAACTCAATCACGATAATACAGTAATGCATCGTTTGCTTAGAATCTCAAAGGCTCCACGAGAGATGACACTACAATAATTAAAGCGACGCTGCACTTTTTTTCGCGTGCAAAGTTTGTATATGTACCCCGTGGTTCGTAGTCGCGACTGTCACGCATTTTCTGTTTGTGAGCCCGGGTGCAAGACGCCGTCGGGGTCGTCGTCGCCGGGCCTCGATGAAGATGAAGCGAATGAAAAACGAGGTGATCAGTGCGACTGTCGACTCTTATTTAAAGCGACGTCACTATCAGGTGCAAAATTGTGCTCACAAGCTTTTTCGTGCTTAAGTTGCCATACAAACCCTGCGTCACATAACCTCGCCACCGCTGTTTTGCAGGCAAACGACTTCTTTAAGGCCGAACAGTTCTTTTGTCAGAGCAGCGATCAAATGACACTGAACGCAACCGCCGAATGCGGTACTTCGCGGGATAATTCTGTCGTTTTTAGTGCCATCACCATTGATATTAGCGCAGCGGAACAGGCTTATCAACGGTAAGGTTCAACCCTAGCAGTACAGATTGGTGACGCAAACGTGTATATTTTTGTTTACAATTCTTAAAATGTATATTTTGAAATATATTTTTTTGTCTCGGAAAGTTTAAACTCCGAGTAAAATAACGATATAATCAACAATCAAAAGAATTAATAAACTTTTGCGTTGTTGAAAAATAATCAAGTTAGATAAAAACACGTACTCTTAAATCCAAGACTCTATTGCTAGGGTTGATAATCTAATTTCACAACGTCACATTTACAATTTGGAAGGATAAAACATTACATCTGGTTACATTATATTGTGATTTTGACACAATGTTTAATTCTTCAGAAGAAGATTTTGACAATGTATGTTATACATATCTCATAGTATTTCCATCTACATGAAAAATACAGGCAGCTTTCCAATTATAATATATATTAATGTGCTAAAATCTCAATTGTATTTTTTAGATTAAAGAAATGGATAAATACCATACTCAATGAAAAGCTAAAACTGGAATTGCGAGGACTTTTGTATCCGATGTTTTGTCATCTTTACTTGGAGATGTTACATGCTGGTAACCGACAGGCTGCAATTCAGTTCTTAAAGGCGCATCAGAATGAATTTGTCAACGAAACAGAGAAAGATTTCTTAGAAGAATTGTCTAGCGTATTTTCTGTACAAGATATTGAATTGAGACCTTTGGTAAACGCGTTCAGAACTAGAAAGTATAAAGTAGATCTATCTGATTCAGCTCACATTTGCTTGCAGCAATATTTTATTAAATATGGATATATAACATTAATACAGGTAATTAATTTTTTTTTAAATATATTTTTTGTTGCTTATTCAAATTTCATAGAAGCTCATCACTCTCTATTCCACACTTTTAACATATTAAATCTATGCTAGTTTACTAAAATATTAGTATTAAAATAATATTTATTTTTATATAAACTTTAATATTTTACTTCTTTTTAAGTGATATGAATATTTTTATTGATATTGAACAATTGAAAAGCTAACAGATCAATTGCACAACTGCAGAATAATAAGGCTCTTGTTTCTTACAATTCTGTACAGATTATAAATACGCATATCACAATAATCAGAAAGGCAGACAATCCCCAAGTGGATGGAGAAGTGCATGAAGAGAAAGGTCAAAGATACGAAGCAGGTATTAATGGCCATATGGAGCAGCCGTCCGGTACAGGCGTAGATCGTGAAATGAGAGAATTGCAGGAATCTATACGATTAATGAATCACGCTCATCAGCCGTTAAGAATATTTACCATAAAAAATGCTATAGAAAAGTAAGTAGTATTACAATTTTTTTAAATGCGATTTCTATTATATTTCTATTACATTTGTATCTATTGTATCTTCTCTATATATCATTTTATAGCGCAAGTTGCGGTCTTATTGCTCCTAAAATGGATAAATTAGCTGTGGGATTTAGCACAGCCGAGATACGCTTGTGGGGTATAGGTGAAACAGTCTTAATTAAATCAAAAGCTAAACAAACATATGTTCCATTTGCCTGTGATGTGTCTCCATTTTCTAAATACAATGAGCAAGAAAACGCAGTGTAAGTTCCAATTGTATGATTTTTTTTATTTTAATTTAATTTAATAACATATTATGTGACATAATTTTGCGACAACAGAAGAAGCGAAGCAGGAGCGATAATACTAAGAGGACACACAGATGTAGTGCACGATTTAAGGTTTATTCCAGAAGCAGATGTTCTTCTTTCTGTATCAAGCGACAAGGATATGAGAGCATGGAGGCTCAATGATTATTCATGTGCAGCGGTATACAGGTAATCGATTACGTCATAACGAACAAATTCTCTTTTTTTTTTTCAAAATTTTATATATAAAATGTTTTAATATACAATTTGCAACAAGTAGCAGTGTAATCTGAATGTTTGTAAAAATAACCAATGAAAGCACTTGTCAATTTTCCGATACTTTTGTTATATAATACTACATTTTTTTCAATAAACTTTAAAACAAAATAAAGAAAAAAAATAAAATTATATAATTTTAAAGTAATTTTTTAAAATTGAGGTAGTCATCGATTTCAATGTATTTTTTTTTCTTTGGACTTTTACATAATGTTTTTTTTTTTATTTTAGTGGTCATAATTATCCAGTATGGTGCATGGATACCAGTGTGTTCAATTTATACACCGCTACAGGTTCACACGATAGAACTGCCAAATTGTGGTCATTGGATAGGACATTTCCTCTACGAATATTTGCTGGACATTTTTTAGACGTCAATGTATGCCTCTCATCATTATTGTAATCCGCATTTGTTCGCAATATAGTAGTACAATACACACGTTCTGTTTCAGTGCATAAAATTTCATCCGAGCGCCCGATATTTAGCAACTGGCTCCGCCGACAAGACTATAAGATTGTGGGCCAAAGATGACGGGACTCTGGTACGAGTGTATGTAGGAGCGCAATCGACCATTTACACTTTAGCTTTTAGTCCGGATGGAAAATATTTGGCTGCAGGAGGTAATTAATTAAATATGAAAATATTCAAAGTGTTAAACGAATGTATGTCTCTTACTGGAAACAATGTTGCTCAGGTGATGATAAGTCCATATCCATATGGGATTTATCATCTAATGCATTGTTGACTGAATTGAAGGGCCATAAAGATACAATCATGAATGTAGACTGGAGTTTAGACGGTCAGTACATCGCCAGTGCAAGCATAGATGGGATTGTACGACTGTGGCCTACTCAAGATTTTGTCAACACTTTGAATGGGTATGTTTAAATCCTCTTTTTGTTTCATAATTTGATTTTATTATTACATATTGTACCTTATCTTTTCAGAGGTTCGTCAAGTGCAATCTCTCAGTTGGAGGCACAAATATATTCAACATGTTGCTCAAGCATTCTCTCGCTGAATTATTATAAGAAAAACAATTCGTTGATTTGTATTGGCACAGCGTAAGATTTTTATTATTTATTACTACGTTATTCGGGTAAAAACGTACTTCTAAAATTAGATTCTTTTATTTTTAATTTTCGGTAAATTTGCTTGTTTTTTATTAAATTCATTTTATACGTTGTGCGTTCTAGTTAAGAATTGTTTCTTATTTATACCATCCAGCATAATAATGTTTTTGTACATTATTGTATATACGAAGCGCATTACCATCTCAGTATATCACATATAACAATTTATGTTACCTACTATAACTTATCGATTGTGTCTAATTTTATTTTTGTATTATTAATTTTTTAACACTTTGACCGCAAGACTTATTTTTATTGTATGTCTCATATGTATTGTTTAGCCAAACGAACATAATGAAGTATTTCTCTCCTTTCAGATTAATAATTTTTTTATTTTTATTGTCAATCGTGTATTTCATCTTAAATCGAATCTTATGTTTATTGTATGTTACGCAAAGCCAAATATTTCTCGCAAATTCTACAAGTTGTAATTTTCGGCTTTTACATATGAGAAAAAAATTATATATGTGTAGAGAGTACAAATTTCATTTTCAGCCATTGTTTAGTGTAGAAAATTGGAGTCACTTCCGTTTCGTATTTTTAATCTCAGCTATGCTCCTGCCTACCTGGTGATAAATGTAAATTATTTGTAACGAAGAATATAATTTAATGATATTTCAATAAGAAATTATCAGACATTGTTATATGTCTAACTGTGCGTGTAAGTTTCCTGTGGGAATATTGTCTAACAATAATACATTGACAATTTTACGTCTTGTTATAAAGACTTTGTAAGTTATGAATAACGTTATATAGCAAGAGAATACAATTTTTATAAAACAATCCCGGTGTTTTTATTACAGATGGAGAAATTTTTGCCACATTTCTTGAACAAGTGTTTATCGCCAGAGCGATGAGAAGCAATAATGATGAATAATTAAGTAATCATTGTAAAGTTGTAGAGCAAATTTTATTTCAGCAAATGCGTCAAGAATATTATGCGATTCGTATTACACTTGAAAAATCATAATATTCTTAATTTTTCTTCTTTTTCTTCTTTCCAATTTTTTTGTTTTGAACATTGGCTGACTCTTGAACTTCTGCCTTCCGTTTCAATGCCTCTTTTGTAGAGTCATCTTCGGTGACGCTGAGAGTTTCTGTATTTAATGGAGGAACGCTGAAATCTGGAATCTAATTAAATAGAAATTAGTGGATTATACTGTTAACAATGTAAAGCTGTGCAAATCTTTTTTTTTATATTACATGTTGATATAAATCATGTTTTTTGTTTTCTATGCCTGTACTTACTTCCGGTTTCACAAGTTTGAAAAATAATTTCTCATGTTGAACGTTGGACCTGTCCAGACTCATTTGCACGACAATAGGATCAAATGCCCGAAATACGACATCTCCGCAAGTTTGCGATTGATCCTCTGAATTGTACGTGAACGTGATGGACGGTGAAGTAGTACTATTTAGATACAATATTCCTTCTAAACCATATTTCGGAATAAGCACTTGCAAAGCATTTTTCCGAACAAAGAGAATGTATCCTTCTTCATCCTGAATCTTTTCGCGGAAAAATATCTGGAAGATGTAAAGTGATCGAGTTAAAAGTCTGACAGTTTTAACTTTCCAAATCTTTTGTGTGGAAAAATATAAGGAATTTTTATAATAAACCGACATGTGTGTGAAGCGCCACTGAAGCTCGGCCGGCATATTGTGCCATTCGATTGCGATAATTCAGATTATGACACAGCAAATGACTCTTCTTCTTATCCAGCAATTCCGGATAAGTCGCATCGGCACCTATACACACGGCTAACAGTCGATGCACGATTATATCAGCATATCTGTAAAATACGATGTAACTTGGAATAAATTTAATATTTGTAATAACTTTCAGATATATATATAATAATTTTCAGATAGCTTGCCTTCGAATAGGAGACGTGAAATGAGTGTAAATGGGACACGCCAATCCATAATGCTTAAATTCGTCCGCCTGATGCATGCCGCTGATAAAATACACCGCCTGCATCATGCATCGCGTAGCTAATATTTTCAACATTGTATTGAAGTAAGGATTTGATTCTTTTTTAGCTCCTTCCAGTGATTGAGCCAACTCCTTGCCGGTATTTGTATTAATAGTGAAACCCTGTAATCAATTTCATTGACTGATATTAAAAAGAGATTTCCTTTTTAAACCTGAGATAAAAATTCTTAAATGATTCTTACATAAATATTGAGAAATTATTATTCAGCGCTGCTTTTAAATTTTCGACATTAAATATCTTTGCAAATTTGGAAAATTCTAAACTAAAATAACAATACCTGATGTTTTGCAGCTTTAACCAATGGTTCAAAGTTACTTTGTGGCGGTTCAGGATGTCTCCTTAGCATGGCGCATTCCGGAAACTCGGCCAATATTTTTTCAGCGACACTGATATTTGCAAGCAACATAAATTCCTCCACCATAGAATTAGTTTCCCTTAACTTTTTCGCCTCCACATCAATAGGATCGTGCGTTTCACTGTCTATTTGGAAACGTATCTCTGGAGATGCTAAAGATAAGGCACTGCAAAGAAAAAAATCCTTGTGCTAAAATTCTATGCTGATATTTCATATTTTACATTAATGAGATATTTTTCCAAAATTATAAAGAAATCTTTTTTTCTATGTAGAAAATTTTAATTATAAAATCTAATCATGTAATAATAAAAAAGAATTAGAAAATTTGACAGAACATTTACTATAATTCAGAATAATATAATAAATTCAGAAAAAATAAAATAATTCAGAATTCAACATAGACATTGCAATAGGATAAGCATACCCATTCTTAAAGCGTCTCGCCTTCAATTTTTTTGCCAACTGATTTAGCCCCCTCAATGATAACGTAATGGAATCTTGCTGGGTAGCATCATCAATCTTCAATTGTGCCTCTTCATACGTCATAGCCTGACGTGAACAAATTATAGATTTACAAAATCTTGTACCGACTATGTTTGCATCAGGATCTATCTCCCATATGCAAGAGAACGCGAATCTTTCTTCCTCACCACGCAAGGAACAGAGATTTGAGCTAAGTAACTCTAAAATAAAAAAAAAAACGTTTTATATTACATAATTTAGGCTGCAACTGCGTACAATATTGTCTGATACAAAATGTTTCTATTTTTACCAGGAACCATATCGATTCGTTTATCGACGAGGTATACAGTGGTGGCGCGTAAAGCCGCTTCTTTGTCCAGCGCAGTCCCGGGTCTTATAAAATGAGATACATCAGCAATATGCACGCCGACTTCGTAATTGCCGTTCGATAAACTTCTGCAATGTAACGCATCGTCGATATCCGTGCAGCCCGGCGGATCCACAGAACAGATATCCAGGTGTCGAAGGTCTTCCCTTTGCGCTACATCCTATAGATTCAATTATTTATTTTGATTAACTAAATTATTTAAAATTTATTCAATTAAAACTTTGTTTTTCAATTTTTATATTTTTGATTCACATTTCTATATATCACATATTGTAAATTGATCTTGCGATTCTGCATAGCTACATCATTCATCGAATTACCTGTATATTTTAATTACTTCAGCAGTTCAAAATAATTCAGTTATCCGAGTAGGTATACATACCGCATCTGTGATGATCCATGGTAGCTTTGGGAGAAAACTAAGAACGGCATCAGAGAAACGGCTGTGCGGCACATCGTGTTCCAAGAGTAACACTTCATTCTCCGTGTTTTTGTCTCCAATATTACCAAGTGCTCGTACGAAGTGACCAAGCGGATACTTTGAATTTCGCGGCCACGCGTCCAGGGCGACGATAATTCTCTGCTTACTCAATATCTCAGACTGTCGAGTTTCGATTCTTATTTTCGGGATCTTTCTTTCAGCCGGAACAAATAGATGCCTCACATTCTGTACATTGATAATGGAGAAGATAAGAATATGGATACACAGCAAAATTATTTAAATATCACAATATGGCAGAGATTCTTACTCCTTTGATTGCACTCGGCTGCAATATTCCGCAATATTGTCTCCACTTTCGCCTAATAATACCGACAATTTTACCCGTAGGTGTCTTTTCCACTGTTTTCGACGAATTCTGTTTAACGAGCACTTTCTCATCTTCTGGAACGTCATCGGCATCCGCACCTTCCTCATCCTGCAGAACAATTTCACTAGGGGATGACCACTGGTCCTCTGGAAATATTTCAACTGCGACTGTATCGCCATCGACCGCCCTATTAAGATTAATACGTCCTTGTACAAATATCTAAAATAAAAAATGGTAATGTAATTCTGAAAAATTAATATGCATCTATTGTCAAACAAGGAAAAATTCAGCAATATTTAGTAATAATGAGAGAAATTGTTTTAAAAAATTCATTATATTAAAAATTTTATTTTAATCACAGTTTTCATTGATGTGATACCTATTATTTTGCAAAAAATCCATAAAAATTTAACTTACATCTTAAATAGTTTACATAAATTATTCATACTATTAGAAAAAAATTCATGGCTTAAAAACTTTTTGCTTAAACTGAACAAAAATAATGCTATATTTAAGCATCTATATATATATTAACAATTATATATATCTTACAGGTTTTTCCCTTCCTTCAACGTTTACATTTCCTTCGAGAAAATTTTCTCTAGATGCTAAAAATGCTCCCTGCAGCAGTTTACCAGATGATATGCCATTATGCACTTCCGCAGGCGTTAAATGACAAGGAAACAAATCCGGGCTCTTACTATCCAAAATGTAAGAACGTTTACATAATTTATCCAGCAGGTAATTTGAATTTTCCAATGATCCAACGTAATCTTCCACTATGTAAAAAATATATGTTATTTTTTACACAATTGTATCAATTGTATAGCTTTAAGTAAATTGGAATTGAGTAAGTCATACTTGATGCAACAAATAGTCCATCCTCAGTTGCAAGTGTTCTATTTTCTACATCATCTGTTAGTAGAACAATTTTTATATTACAATCTTCAGAGTCCAAATGCGTATTATACCATTTAACTGCAACTCGTATTGCTCTATCATTACGATTATTTGTCTTTTCACCTGGTTCTCTTTCAATATAAGTGTCTCTAAAAACAATATATAATATAAAATATTTTTTTATTATTACATAGAATGCAACACATAAAATATTTAAAATCCAATATAAAAATTTATCACAAAACAGTAATATATTAATGATTATATTATATCATAACAGAATATAAGATTAATCATACAATTTACTTCTATATTGCACATACCGATGATGTTCATTAATGAACACAAAAAATTTTCGCTTTGTGTCTGCTATAATGTTTTTCAATTTCTTATATACAGTAGAACTTCTATGTCGAATTTCTTCCAACACTGTTTGCAGGATAATTACATTGGTGATAACATCTTCTTCCAATATGTCTATCTATTATTGAAAGAAAATTAGTCTGTTTAAATCGATCGATGTAAAATCATTGTAAATACAAAAAAATCAATTAAAATTATAATAGATCACATTCGATAGGACAATACTTACTTGATCCAAAATTATATTTGTGTCAAGTACAAGAAAATACGGAACTAGAATTAAAGAAGACTTTGCACCAACATTCTCTTCATCTAATATCATGTCTCGTGGCCTTGCCCTACATTTCTTACACATTTTAAAACCACAGTAAATGTCATCTCTAAGATAATGCTCTCTGACGGTCTAATGGATAAAAGTCAAAATATTCATACTGTTTTCAATGATTGAAATTTTATATATAATTATATTTAAACGTAAATTGCTATAAGTAAATTTCCAGGATAAATTTATATCCAGCAGACATACCTTAAATATGTTTCCTCCCTTCGTCTTTCGAAAAAAGACTTTTGTCGTTAACATATTGATGTAGTATGTATACGTTCATTTAAATGTATATGATTTCTTTCATAAATTGATTCATACACACTAGTGATTTTGTTGATCACTGTGCGTCGACCTGAGGATTCTTAGGTTATGATTACAGCGTGAACATGCACCGTGGTTAAAATATCGATGTATCAAAGTTTCGATATTTTTTCGAATTAAATTAAACTCCGATATATCGATACATTAATTAACAAATAGTTTACTTGTAATAATAGAACAATATAATAAAAAAGCTTTTGTATTTTTTTTCTTGGTGCTTTACAAAGCATCAATATAAAAAAAAAAACTTTCTACTGTTTTAAAAATATTATTTTTTTTAAGATAGTGCAGTTTTACAAAAAATTAAAAAAAAATCAATATTTTGAATTTTTTTAAAGTATTATGAATTTTCACAACTTTGTTAGTGTAAAAATTTTTTCTACTACAATATATTTTATGAACTAATTAAAATCAAAAGAAATTGTTAATTGCTTCAAAAAGTAATTGTTTGAATGTGGAATAGCTAATTAGCAAATTTCTTTAATTTATATAATTTCTGAATACAAATAATTTTATAAAAGCGGAAAGCATACGTAATATCAGGGTTTATTTTCAGTAGCAAATAGTGATGTGATATACCGCTAAAAGAACAACGATTTATATGTAGTCGACGTTAGAACAGTTTAATTTTGGACGATCCGCGCATTTTTAGATCAGATTTGAATTTATGGTTTGTTGGTAAAATCGTAATGGACACTTAACCTATTTGTCGGACCAAATTCATCGGACGCTGTCATGCGTTTCGCCGGAGTTGGGTTGTCTTCTGCATTGTAATTGCAAATTTTTGTAAGAAATAAGACACGAGAGGTTAATCGGCGATTGTGGGAATCGAGAAAATGTAATTATTTATTGATGAAATATTTATTCTAGAATTATTCGTGAAATGTCATTGAGAGATGTGAGATGTGATAATATATTATTAGTGAAATAATATGACAAGTCTTCCCAGTCAATGTGCCTAATAATATCGTACATATTGATAACACTCAAATAAACGTCTGTTTTCAAATACATTTTTTGAATTTGGAAAGATGTGTAATCTATAAAATCTCTTACTATCACGCAGAAATAAATCTAATGTATCATTTGTTGCAATAATATGAAAAATATGTATTCTACTTATTTACGTTTTACTTTCAGTCTTTTATATTAACATAATGCATGTATAAACACAAATTTTTTTTACAGATTGCTCATTGAATTCTAAAGCGACACAATGCCTGGAAAAATAAAGGTGAAAATACTGGCAGGCCGTAATTTACCAGTTATGGACCGTTCTGGTGATACAACAGATGCATACGTGGAACTGAAATTCGGCAATATTACTTACAAGACGGATGTATGTCGAAAATCGCTGAACCCACAGTGGAATTCGGAATGGTATAAATTTGAAGTTGACGATGCAGAATTGCAGGATGAGCCATTACAGATCAGGCTAATGGATCACGATACGTATTCTGCAAATGACGCAATAGGCAAAGTTTATGTAAACTTGAATCCGTTGTTGTTACCTGGTGTGTTGCCTCCAGTAAAAAACATTTGGACCTTGGAGGCAACCATGAACACCAGTGCTGGCTCACAAGGTGATCTAAATGGAATATGGAGGATGTTGTGTATTTTATGTTATTTCTTAAGTATTTCCTTACTGTTTTATACATTTGCTTGTAGGATCAGTTATGACCGGATGGATACCTGTATACGATACAATGCATGGCATACGTGGTGAAGTGAATATTATTATCAAGGTGGAGTTGTTCTCCGATTTTAACAAGTTTAGACAGTCGTCCTGTGGAGTACAATTTTTTTACTGTAAGTATATTTAATTTCTACAGATTTTTAGAACCCAATTTTAACAGTGACATATATCATGAGCATGTATATGCATTATATGATATCTGTAATTGATTAGTTTTGTGATGTATTTCTTTGTATGGAGATTTTTTTCTTAAAATTTTTATAATAAACAATTAAAATACATTTTAGCGCCGAATATACCATATGGATACCATGCACAGATGATACACGGATTTGTTGAGGAACTTGTAGTTAGCGATGATCCAGAATACAAGTGGATCGACAAAATAAGAACTCCTAGAGCATCAAACGAGGCACGACAGACTCTATTTTTTAAATTAAGCGGAGAAGTTCAGAGGAAAATTGGATTGAAGGCACTGGATCTTGGTGGAAATGCTGTGATTGGGTACATCTTTTTTTTTATAGAAGTAAAATTCTTAATTCTGTAGGCACTAACATTTCAATCTCAAGTGAAAATTGTGAAAGAGTTGATTAAAATTGTCTTAATATCCAGATATTTGTTACGTTATTGTCTAATTTGATATCAGGTATCTGCAAAACTTCGATCTGGAAGGTGAATCCGGCATTGTCGCCAGAGGAATAGGCACAGCGGTGACGCTCGTAAAATTGCATGACGTCCTCGGCTTTCCTTGCGACAATATTAACATCGAGGAGTAAGTACTTTCGTACGTCCAATTATGTATTATATCGGAAGAGGCGGTGCCTCATCCGAATATAACTGCATGTTTGATCGTCGCGATAAATGGTAAATTACCACGCAATTGCGTCTGGCATAGCACGAGCCAATTAAGCGTGTCGCCAACTCGTATAAATGGCGATAAACTTGGCGCTCGCTAACGAGCTATTTCAAGAATTTTATACAGGGAAATGCTGCCACTTCTGTTTTACGGCTGAGATAATCTACTTCGCGACTGAACATAATTTACGCGGGATGGATATGTGCGATCCGAAAACGAATTATTTATCGAACGAATTGAATCTAATCTACAGAGAGCAATTAGGTGATCGAATCGATTCGGTGTTGATTATCTTCCCGTCACTTTAGCACATCACGAATTCAATGTTATTCACGAGATTGTACCGAATTGTTCATTGATTAGCTACTGATAATCAAGTTACTTTGTTTGATTTCGTGTTCTACTTTTTCCGAGTTGCATTATTTTCTCTTCTTTTTTCTTGTCGCATACTTCTCTTGATTTGACATCTACTTTTCTCACATTAGCCTCACCACTTTTTTCTTTCTTTTTCTTATTGTACACTTGTTTTAAAAAAATGGTTTTTATGTTGCATAAATAACAATTTTCCCTTTTTGTTTAAATCAAATCTGTCTCCTGTTGTTGCTATTTACAATGAGTTTTTGCAAAGGGTACATGAAGATTAATAGATATTTTTTTTGTCTTCCCCACCCGCATGCGTTTGTATAGGATCGCATTCGCGCTTTCCTCACGCATTAAAGCGGAACGTTTAGACGACAGCGCGCCGTTCATCCTCACGTCTCTTCCCGCTCGTGTTCCCGCTTTGTATCCCACGCGCATACCGATGAAACCCATAAACAAAAGTCTTTCGTCCTTCGCGAGGTCCACGTCATCGTTAACACGCCTAGAACGCGCCACGAAACCGTGGTTCGAGACTCCTGGGTGTGCCAGAACGCGAGGGAAACGCGTCAAGCGCATTCCGTTTTTCCGATGCAACACTTCGAGCACTCTGAACCTGAGGATCTCCAGCGGTTCGGATCTCACCCCATCCCCGGAGTGCTTAATCGACGAGGCGGTGAGATCACTGCGCACCGCGCTGACGCCAGCAGACGCGAAGAGAGAAACGCCGAAGGGCCGACTGTCCAGGCAAATCAGGCATCTTCGCAGCAAATTCGATTCCGTCGGCGAGGAGCATCGTGCCGCCGAGTCCGATCGCGATTCTGATGCCGACTCGATCAGATTCCCCGTCGTGAATTTAAAAACAGAGAGAAATCTCAAGGAAGCCAAGACCACCGGCGGCTTAATGGCCGCATTGCTGATCGGTTCCATACATAGCATGCCTCTGGAGAAGACAGAGCTCGCTGAATGCACTCCAATTCCCCGCAGCGATCAAGTATCCAACGACGAAGCATCGAGCGAAGTAGCGGATGGCGAGAAAATTCTTAAAGAGAAGTCTCGGGAAAACGCGGAAGAGGAAAGTAACGAGGTCAAGGACGAAGGACAGCGGCGGAACGCCTCGTCGTTGGTCGACGAGACGGAGATGTCGTCCTTCGACGACAATTCCACTGGCAACGAATCGTCGGACGACACCGCCAGTTACAATATCCTGGACGATTCCAGGTACTCGGTCGAGCGGGACTCCGACGAAACGTCGGATTGCCAGGAGACAATCCCCATCGCCCGTTCGAGCGCGGAGAGCTGCACGGAATCCACCCTGCAAGTGGACTCGGACGCGGCGACGAATCGTTTATCGCCAGCGGCGGATTCAGCGAGCGGAACTGTCGAGCCGCGCAACGATGTCATCCCTATAATTACCGTGGACGCTCACGAGAGCACGGACTCGGACACGTCGGTCGACGCATTCGCATTGTCGAATGATGAAGAACGGTCCGACATCGCGACCTCGCGCAGCCCGGCCGAGAGCAACACTCTCGTCTCGCAGTCGAGTCAGTCGTCGGCTGACAATCGAGAAATCAACGACGCCGGGAAAACGTCCGACACTTCTGGAAAGTGTCAGACGTTGAGTTTACAGAAGGAGAAGCGACACAGCGGCGCTGAACCCGACGATGCGTTTCGCGAGGTGCATCGCGTTCACCTCACGAGACACGAGCGGGATCTATGCCGGGCGCGTAGACAGTCCGCTCATCAACGAGAAGAGCGATCCCCATCGGTCGCTGAAGCGGAAGAGAGAGACGCCACCGACGCGCCCGAGCTGTCGGGCTCGACGGCGCGCGCCAGCGCGTCCAACGACGAACTCGGCGCGAGGGCGACTATCGCGAGACGACGATGCATGCACGACCTGATCAGGTTGATCGACACGAAGCTGATGTCGTCCACGCATCACGGTAAAAAAATCACGTCGCCGAAGAGCAAGCGAAGGAGACGCGAGAAGAAGGCGTGCAGAGTTCCGGCGGAGTCGCTTGACAAGTTTCCCACCCGCCGCACATCCAGGAGACGCGCGTCGCACAGACGTCGCAAGGACGTCGTTTCGCGCGTTCCCCGCGTCCACTCGACCCCCGAAAATCTGTTCTCGGGCGAGCACCCGATCTTTTACGCCGCCTCCCGCTCCTGCGGTTCCTCTCTCGTCAATTTAACCGATCGTACGCGCGTAGCGAGCTCGAAGCGAGCCGCTTCCCCGGCCGACCGTCCGCTCGACGGTTCGCCGAGGAGCGACCGCGGCAAATTAGACGCGATAGCCGCGGTAGAACTCGAAGGCGACAGTATTCACGTAGCAGCGCCCACCGATCATCATCATCATCATCATCATCATCATCATCCATCGTGCGACACGATGACAGTCGCGATACGCAAATGCAATAGCGTCTGTAATCTAGGGATAGCGTCATGTCATATTGATTGCACTAAGCCCACTAACACGGCTAATATGACTTACAACATGTGTGTGTCCCGTCCTTCTCCCAATCTTAGGCAGCAGGACGAAGCATCGGTCAGTCCGTCCTGTCCATTGCCGACCGTGCCATCGGTGGCCGCTCAGAAAATGTCCCAGTCACCGGCGACCAGGACGCTCGCCAGTGTGCCGCTTCACCGGAGATCGAGCGATTCCGATCTGAGTGTTACTCCGAAAGGTGAGAGTTCCAGTTCCAAATAAAAGGAGTAGAATAAGCAAGGATGTTCCAATTAATTTCATCAATTTATATACTGCAATTGTACAATTAATTCGAGCATATAAGTTAATTGCAATAATTTGCACAATAATTAATTTAATTAATCGAAGCTATCGGAAGATTGCTTCTCAAAATTATTTTATACGTTACAAGTTTTGTAGAAAGAGAAAAATTATGCGCATGTATCACGCTGTTGCCATTTAGGATCCAGTTTTTTTTTTCAGCGGTTCAATTAAAAGCGAAGAGAAAAATTGAAAAGTCATATTGTGTATCTCAGGTAACTCTCTAGGCAGCAGTGATAGATCGATGGCAGGACCCTTGAGGGCACCGGCTGCGGTGGTGAGACCGATGAATCAAGACACGCTGGAAATGTTAGAATACCCATTCATCACGATGCAACATTACCCGCCCGACTTCATATTACACATCGGTAATTAAGCCTTGCTACGTGCCTCGAGAATCATACGATTAATCAAATGTGTTTAGTCATTTTGGCGATAAATAAAAACAATCGAGTCTAAAAATTCTGCGCGAATTGAATGTCGCGGGAAACTAAGTCATGTGTGTGATGGAGACAGGTGGCCTGGTGAGCTCGAGGTCGGTGAAACTGCTCGAAAGGATAAGTAATTTGGAGGAGCCAGAGGGCCGTGATGCGTGGTGGACCGAAATTAGAATGGAAGTCAGGTCGCATGCGAGAGCGTTGGCTTGCAACGTCGTTATAGGCTACAAGGAAGAAACTAGCATATGGTGAGCTTCGGAAGAAACTAGCAATGCTGCGCAAAGCGTGACGAGTCTTGAATTAATGTAACACGGATTTTAAGATTTCTGAACGAAATTAATGTGTGAAATAATTCAAGGCTAATGCTTGGCGTATATAAAAATATAGAATATATAGAAATAAAGAAAATATAGCTTGAACACCCATTTGGTTTTGCGTAGCTCACTTTGGTATCATATTTTACATGATTATATTCCTTTATATAAATTTTTGCAACACACACTCACACGATTCTCTCTCCACAGTGATGACGTGTGCGTGCTGAGCGCTTCCGGTACGGCGGCAATCATAAATTTGCACAACTCCGGCCAAGATCCGGACGGGATTGTTCTGAATAAACTTCAGCAGAACGTGCCGGCGGCTGCCGTGGATTCCGATCGCGAGAAGAGTCAGCAGAAGTCGACGGCGACGAAGGTGGAGAAGGTCGACGGCGACGCGCCTATCATGCCTCACTCGGAGCGACAGAGCGCGAAAGCCTGCAGGCATCGTCCGACAGCAACGATCACGAGGGCTCCTGCGGCCAGTCGCAATTGCGGTGCAATCTATGCCACCTGCCCTACAGCGAGAACAGCGTGCCATTCAGAGTCAACGTGTCCAAGTGCGCAATATGCAAACGCGCCAAAGTCCCGGACGTGATGTTCACGACGATAGAAGTGCCCGCGAACATACCGACGACCGGAAGAGGCTGCTTCATCCAGGCGACTGTATGCAAGAGCAAGAAGGATCTGCGGGGCGAGTTGAACGCGAAGGAAATATCTGACTGCCTGCCCTTCCTGGAATACGAGCTTCACAGTTTGCTGTTAAACAAGCTCAGAATTAAAGGCATGAACGCGATCTTCGGCCTCAGGCTGCAGGTCTCCGTCGGCGAGCGATTCATAATCGGCATGGCGGTGGGCACCGCGATCTACCTGACAGCACTGCCGCCGCCTAACATCCCGCAAATAGCGTCTGGCAATTCGTGGCACAACGAGGAGCAATTAGCGGAGATGCAGAAGTCAATTGTGGACACGGTGAAGAAGAACAGAGAGTTTTATCACCTAAAACCCATCGTAGCAAACGTATGTAGGACTTGGTTTCCGCAGTTGTATAGGAAAATAGCTTACTTTTTCATAATCGATTGTTAAAATCGTCAAAAGCCTCTTTGAATCTTACTCATTTCGAAGCAAAGGAAAAAGCGTGAAAAGTTTGATTGTTAATCGATCGTCGCACGATTGTAGGAAGTGGAAAACGGACGGGTTCCGAGCACCTCCGACACGGACGAGTCGGACGAGGATCTGCCGGAGCTCGATCTCGGATTGGGCACTCGCGACGCGTGCGTTTTGGAAGTGGACGACATCGAAGACATGGATCGGATATCGTCGCTGATGGACAACAGGCCGCCTGACGATTTCCATGTCGTCAACACGCAAACGATACCCGGTCTCGAAGATTTAGAGATCGTTCGAAACTTGCAAATGTTCACGCAGGTCTCGAGAGCTAAGATTCCTACGGGACAATTCGCGACGATGCCGTCGAAATACTTTGCTAGGTTACTTCAGGTACGATTTCTCGAAAATGTTTTCTACAAAATGTACTTTTTATTTTATACCGCATTTTAGCGGATCCTCAATGCTAAAATATTTTGCGAGAAAAAAAATTGTAAGCTGCTTTTCCATCTGATTATAATATTTCTTACTTTTTATTTTAGTCTTTGTACTTCAAGTTAAGAAGGATGGTTCCTTGCGCACTGTGCGATATGCAATTTAAAGTAGCATTACCCGAGCAGGATGAAATACAATTGACTGTCGTTGGCATGGCGCTTGGATTAGGAGAACCCTTGAATACGAATAAGTATAAAAGGAAAATTGTGTGTCGTTCCTTAAGCAAGGATCAAGTGAGAAAGTCAGGTACTTATTGAAGCAATACTCTTTATAAATTGCATTTACATTTCTATCCGAGATTGTGACCGGATTTTGCTGCACTTTACAGTTATGGCTTTTTACTGACTGAGCATCTAATGTTATTTTTTTTTATCTATTTTATATTTTCTGCATTTTATATTTTATCTCTGTTTAGATGACAATGATATGATATTCAGTCTTGACGAGGATCATTTAGAGAACAATGTCGCATCCGAGAATGTAACGCGCACTTGTATAGGAAATCCGACGACCTTAAGCAGCGCCCCTGTGCAAAAGCCGAGACCACGCTCACCTCAACGTTTGAAATCATTCACTATTCATAGACGTAAACATGTGAGAATTTTTTCTTTAAATACGTACAAATTTAATATTTAGCTATGACTAGTCTATAATTTTAATGCCTAATGAAATTCACAATAATCTGCTGAGCATTAAGGTCTTTAACAAGTTTTGCTTTATTTTAGGTGCCTTTGAAAGCAAGATACGGCGTAGATATAACACCTTTATCCTATTTGCCTGGCGGAAGAATAGAGAGATATCAAGGCAATTTAAATTTCTTTTTCATCCGCGAAAGCACGTCGATACGAGAAGTGAGTTTTGCATAGAATTGATAACAATTATCATTCTCGAAGTGTTGCCATTGCGACGGTAATCGTTAATAATCCAAATTGTTTGCAGAATGGTGGACTAAGCGGTTTCACCCACAGTTTTGTTATGGAGGTTCTGGCGATTGTTCGCGCGCACATTACGGCATTAGGGGGTAATGCGATGGTAGCGTTCTTTATGACACAGTGCGTGCTTCTACACAACCCTCACAAAAGTCAAGTTAGTGAAAATATTTTATTTTTGTAAATCAGCAAAGCCAAGCAAGATACTTGAGCGTATTTTGTTTCAATTTTAACAAATAATTGTTAATATATATTAATCAAATATTAATATTTATATCATTAATATTACTATTAAATTGTATTTATGTATTTGTCACTTATTTTATATTTCATCAAAAAATGTGTTTTCAGGGCCAGTGTCTAATTAACGTAGGCGGTGATGTGGTAACAGTATCTTATTATGCCGATGAGAAGCATAATGCTGTTTCAAATTGCTGACCCCAGCCTCCACACTCAGCACCGCCATAAACGACTACAAACTTGACAAATTATTTGTCAAATTTTTAATTATTTGACTTAAATGCCGATATCAGCGTTGTTATAGATAAGACCAGACCGTTGCGGCTTTTGGGAGTACATTGTGCAATATATAGTCGCATGATAGTTTTTAATATTATGCGACATCGATATTGTTATTTAATAATTTATTTTGAAATGCCAAAGCCATGAGTCTATTGTTACATACTTGCAATATCTGATAATATTACTTCATTTTTATAATTTAACAAAATACTCAATTATACAAAAGTAATTCGTTGTTGGTGTAATTGGAAAAAAATAAGTGTTCGACTTACAAGTAATTAAATCGAAGGAACAATTTCTCTCAACTATGTAAATATAATACATAAAAATATAGAAATTTACATTTTTTATTTATTTCTTCATGCAATAATAACCGCCTTGCCGGTTACACCGCAAATAACGGATTACTTTATTGGTAGTGTGTTAATCTAGAATACACTATTATCATCTCTTGTTCGAAAGTTTCCTTAGAAACTTTTAGAACGATAGGATTACATTTTATTGAACACTAGAATACACTAAAGGCAATACCATTTTTAGGATAATAACGAAATAGTTTATCCATTTTGGAAATCACAGTATAGTTTCGGTCACTAGGTGCCTTTGAAATTGTGCAGAAAGGAGTTGCGTGTACAGCATATTCTTCCGCGTTATACAAGATGTAGCTAATATATCTAGCATATAATCGCGGATTCTTCCAACTTAGGACTTGTCTATAATCTTGACAAAAAGAGCACTGTTATTTCGAAGAGTTAAATATAAGAATTTCCTGAAGTAGGCCACCTAAATGCCTTTAGTTGTGTTGAAAATGCTCGAAAAAGTAAGTTAATGAAAAATAAATGGTTTGACAGTCTTGAAAACCATTTAAAAGAAATACTTTGATAACATCTCGAGGTAAGCGATCAATAATAAAATAATAACACCTATTCGGCATTTTACATTCTTTCCATTATTGGTCGCATTTAATTCTGTAAATACTTATTACACATGTAAAAAGCATGGTCCCATTAGAGAATGTAGAGAATGATTATGAAAAAAATGTGTCCAATATTTGTTCACAATTAATCACGTAGCAAGACTATTTATTACAATTATATCAGTCTCGAATAAACAATGCGTTTGTTGGTCGAATAATACGTGACAAGACGCATTGAACTACGAGAAAATGTTATGTTTTACATCTCAAGTGAAATATTTAGATAAAAATTTTAACTTCTAACATTGTCCGATTGAGATTTACAAACTGTGTTATATATCTTTATCTCTAATTGATAAGAATCATGAATCACGACACGAATATCCATTCGAGTATTCAAACTCTAGTCAAAGTTGTTTGTTTTTCTGTTATTTTTAAACAATTTTTAAAGCTTCATTGTTAAACTAACAGTTTATTAATGTGGGTATGGTCATGCAGCGTCACCGTGACTTGTTCTGATTTCTAATTTTTTTTTAAACATTTTTATTGGGATATGAGTGTAATGTACTTTTGTTGCTAAACATATACTGTGTATAAAACATTGTAATGATATGAGAGATAATTCTAAGATAAAGAACAAAAATGTAATAATACAGATTACAATATACGGACACCGTGACCAACCCTGGTTGAGTTTAGGATCATTTGAAATAAGTGGAAAATATTGTAATGTCCCTTCCAATGATTCTATTAATCACATTTTACCGTACTTAGAAGTAAGTGATAAGTATATTGTTTTTTTCTATTTCAAAAATATTTCTCCTTTTATAATAAAATGTCAAAGAATATTTTTTGTCTTAATTTCCTGCATTGCTATTCAGAATTCTATGATGTTGAAAGACTAAACCGTGGTATTTTTAACCAATATTCCAAATTTGATAAGTATTTTTTATAATTAGATTGCTGTCATAAGAATGGAATAAAAATAATATACAAATATACTGAAAATTAATATATTTTTGCATTAATTTAAATTAAAAATTTTGCTTTCAATATATATAAATCTCTAAAATAAAACAATAAACTAATTTTTTTTATAAATGTTTTTACTTTAAAAATTTATTTTAGATTTTTTTACTAGCAATATGTTATTATATACTTAATTCTAATAGCCAAGACTCAAACTATTTAGTCGAGACTTAAACCTAACTTGCGTTAGAGATTTACACTTTATTTAAGGCCGGTTGTTCCAACTTTTTCTAGTTGGAATACCAAGTAAAATTACCTTTTGGTAATAACAATAGAGGTAATTTGGTATTCCAATCACTGAGTAAGGATTATTGATATTTATCAATAAATAACTGGTGGGTAAACCTACTGAGAAGTTGGAAAAATCGGCCCTTAGCTAGAAAAAATATCACTTACCTGAGACATAAAACCTTATTAGTTAAGACTCGAATCATTTGGTTTGAGTTTAGGTTTAAGTCTTGACTAAATGGTTTGAGTTTTGTCTGTTAGAGTTAAGTGTATAATAGCATATTGCTAGTAAAAAGTTTCTAAAAATAAATTTTTAAAGCAAAAAATTTGCGTCTATCAACAAATATTAATTTATTATGTTTTATTTTAGAGGTTTATATATTTAAAAGCAATTTAAATATTATATATTTAAGAGCAAAATTTGAAATTATGTGTGTACAAAAATATAATCTAATTATAAAAAATACTTATCAAATTTGGAATATTAGATAAAAATACCATGATTTAGTCTTCCAACATTATTGAATTTTGATAGCAACGCAAGAAATTAAGACAAATAAATAGTTTGAGTCTCCGCTTTTATATGATATATAAAGCGCAGAAATTAAATTATAACATCGTTGAGACGTTACAATTTAACTTTTGTGTTTTTTCTCCAAGTTATTATATAATAACTTTAACTATTTATATATAACCAGAAAAAGTTGCTCTAGTTTTTCTTTATTTTTTAATTTTGAACAAGTGCTTTTGCTTCTTGAAATACTTCTGTCCTATTACATCTACTAAATTTTGCAATTGTGTATTTCTCGCGTTGTAAATTTCAATGTCTCATTCCGGTGTTGCTGACGCACATAGTAATATACGTCCGCGAAAGTGTTTGCTTGTCGCGTTTCTCGGTACTATTTTGCGCGGTCGCGCGGTAGACGAGATAAATTCCCGCGCGACAGGAATAAAATACGAGCTGTGAGATGCACACGGGGGCTAAATTAGGGAACACGCGATATAACATGGCAGGATCCTATCTCGTCGCCCGATACATACGATAAAGACTACTTAGGATGCAGGATAGTCGGCGGGGCAGAAGCAAATATTGCCGCAGAGGTAATTGTTAAGAGCGACGGACGACTCGGTGAGACATCAATCTTCCGAGTCGCACATCGTTGCCCCGGTTTATTATTGTCGGTCCTCAAATTTGCGCTTTCTTTCGGCAATAGCTATAGCTATTCTTTTATAGCGCTTCTTTTATAGCGGTCCTTTTTCTTTTATTTGATAAATGTCTGCCGTAAAAAATTACAATATAGCGCCACGTTTTATTTTCTTTCTTCTATTTCTCATTACTGATGATTAAGCTGTATTTTACTACCATTTTCAAAATTATTTTGTTAAAACAGTGGCCGAAGGTTCCAGAGTTCTTTCTTATTATTTTTTTGATCTAGTGTTCGATATTCTTATAAGCTTTCGAACCGCGTCCGTAAAACCTTCGTATCAAGATAGAAAACCTATGTGTCTACGACAGTACGGACAGTTATTCCAAATAGGCTATAAATATTTTACTAGATCATATATTTGCCAATGCCTCTCATAAATATTATCATTAATGATAGACTTGTGTACAAATTTATTGCGACATTTACACATAAATAGAGTAAAAGAAATTCATCATTACTTGAAGTATCTATTATTCATCACGTGCTTCTCTTCTGGCTTTTGAGCATCGTAGCGACACAAAGCAAAAAGCTGACACGTACACAAATATAATTGACGTTGATAAGTGGACTAGTGAAGGAAATACAGCGGGCAGTCATACGTACTGCGGAAACTTAAAATGTCTCCAATAAAAATGCAATAAAACAGACCATCAAATAAGTACTTCGTGTACTGAGCAATAAATATAAAATGTTACAAGTGTTATCTTAGAAAGTATTAACGATAAGAACACGATTGCTTTTTTACGTTTTATGAGTTAAAACTATCTATGTGATGCGTCGAATGTATTAAGCGCGTTAAAAAAAAGAGAGAGAGAAAAGAAAAGACAATTCTTAGATACGGAATCGCGAGGCAACTTATTCTGCCAAATATAATCAATTAGGCGAATACTGTGTTTTCTATTTTTAAAAGTTTCCATTATAACTTTTTACTTACTTTGCATAGTTAGTTTTATTGATACTCCATCCATTCGTTCATTCCGACTTCCTTCATTCTCGCTTTTCATCCGTGGATGGTTCGATTTCCGCAAGCTTGGCCTTTCGATCGTCGGCGGAAATCGATTCTCGTTCGAAAATTAGTCTTGTTCGAAGTATTCTTTTTCCAAATTTTTTACTAATCGCTACGTCATTCCGCATGTAAATTACTTCACTGACTCATAAAAGATATGACGTTACGAACTGCGAATCACTATTGCATATTTAAATCAATTCTGCAAAACAAAAATTCCATGTGTAAGAAATATAAAACTAAAAGTATAAAGTACAAAAATAAATATAAAATTGTAAATTGCGGTATTGAATTCGTTTGTTACTAGTCACATGTTACATATATGAATGAGTCTGAGAAAGATATTTTCAATCTCGATTGTTCTTTAATATTTTTATTTAAGAAATCAAAAGCATTAGATTATTATAAAAGTTTTCAAGGTTCTTTTGACTTTATTAAATTTCATTATATTTTTTAACTGAAAATCTTAAATCCTTTTTTTAACCTGAAATAAAAAGAGGAATTATATATTGATAATTGTTTTCTTTTACTTTTACTGTAGATTTTTGCTAATTTGTAGAAAAAATATTTTCGAAATAATCTAATATTTTTTTTGCACTAATATTTTATATGCAAACATACACATGAAATATTACACACTGGAGACAGGAGGAAAGGATGGTATGATAATACAGTATAATAACCAAGAGAAGTGTTCTGAGAGAATCACTTTATATATACTTGCATATGCATATACTTGTTATAATAAATATATTATTACCTCACAATATACGTACATTAGCATGTATCGCATCGGCCATATCTTACAGTTTCGTCTGTTCCATGACAATACAATTCCGTGTCTGTTGAGTGACAATACATTCATAACGTTGCGAATATATCCAACGAGTAAGACGTAGAGACGTTAAAAATAATGCAATCACCTACAGGACAGATTTCCTAATGAAACTTTGACACGTATTATTTAATATAAGTAAAACTGTGATTAATCACGATCAGTTGACGGAGATCGAATCAAACGTACTGATTTAGTTCCGTGTGGTGTGAAGTGTTCAATTGCATTTATTTTTTTCATTAAAAGTTTATTTGTTTGAATAACTTTATTTGTTAACACCTCAATCTTCTTCTGCAACAATTACACGAGTCGCTTCGAGAATTAAGGACGGAAGCATTTTTTCGAATTAAGTTTTACGGAATAAATTATAAAATAACGTTCACTGATCAGTTTAAAGTGGAATTTAATTAATTCTTTAAAATGGAATTTAATTAATCTTTTAAAACGGATTCAATCGATTTAATTAAATCGAAGTTTTACTTGAGACTCACTGAGATATCAAAGATTGCAATTTGAATAGTTGCAGAAAATGCTAATACATTTGAATATATTTTGTTATAAAAAAAAATTTATCTTAATCTTCGTGAAATAATTATCAATGCATCTATATCTATACATGAAAATATAATTAAACAAATTATTTCAATTAAATAAAATAAAGTAGCAAACGAATGCGCGAATTTAAATCCCCTGAGCTTGCTTAATTTAATTTGTTTAATTGCATCTTGCGTGCAAACTAATCATCCGCGTCACAGATCGTGTTGCGAGTTGCAGAATCATCCGTTTATAAAATAAATAGGGTGAAAACCTTGTTGATAACGCTCTTTACTTTCATTCGTGTAGAAGGTTATCTCGCAAGCGATGCGAAGATGAGAGTGATTAATTGGAAATAGTAGTCGCGAAAATCGATACGACACAACGTTCCTACGTTCTTACATTTGTAAAGTTGCGATGTTACTCTAATCGTAAGGGCTATGTTAAAGTAGGACGTGGTGGAATTAATACACGAGTAAATTCGAGACATTCACGTACAGCGTAGATTAAAATGGTACATTTTTGTGATATATTTCTCATTCGTTACGAGGAAAAATAGAATCAAATGTAGCAATTAATTTTTAGAACATTTGTCATCGCACGTCAAATTATTTAAAATCGAAGAAAAATCATCGTACAATCATTTATTTCTTTGATCCTTTAAAGAACATAAAACTCTTTCTTCTCTCGATATATATTTTTATATATTTTTTTTTTAATATTAAAATTTTGAAGAAAAACTATAATATTAAAATCATCTTGCCTGTAAAATATATGTTCAACAAATGGAACATTTTGATTGTTAATACATATAATACGTTTAGCTAACTTACACGTTTAATTAAAGTCTGCCTTGTCTCGAAGAAAGAGAACGAATGAATTGCGCTAATACGCTTAAAATTCAGATTCAGCAAAGTATACTTACTGTTACAGTGATTCAACGCTCGGGGGTATCAATTTGTTCTCTAAACGCTGTTTGTGCGCAGTAAGAATGAAAATCACCAAAGAGGCCAGATTGTTCAACATTAATGGAATTTAGGCGATCATCTGTTGGCGACGGTTGTAAATATTTTTTTTGTTTTTTACATTCGACAAATGTCCTACGAGTAGATGACGAGACGATCGAACGATCTAAAGGGAACTTAATCGTCCATCGCTTGCGAATACAGAGCAGGGTGTGATGCCGTTTCTAACGTCGTTTTCCAAAGCGCAAGAATACATGATCGACGTCTTGCCTCTTGACACCGCTGGCGTATCGGGGCAAGTTCTCTCGATATTCTGAAAGCAATTCAAACGCAACGGCATATGATTATTCATCGCCGCAGTCTATTCTGCGAACTTGAAAATAAATACAGAGGACAGAAATACGCGCACCAAAAAAGCGATATTCAAAATATGTATCGATACGGTAATATAAATTACTAAAAAAATAATTGAAAGAAATATACGCGTGCATGCGTGTTTTAAGAGATCTATATACATATACATATAATTTTTGCCTTTCAAAAAATCATTTATTTTATGTGCAAGATGTGCGAGATGAGTGATTTAGGTGATGAGCGTTTACCACTGTCGTCGACAAAGTCATTCACGTCCCTGGCGTCCCATAATCTGGCAATAGCGAAGCAAAGTTTACGTAGTCTGGGCGGAAGCTCCTCGAGAAATCCCGTGTTGCACTGAGTGGGCAGCGCGGCGGAAGCTTCGCCGGACAGAATCGCCACGGTCGTCACAGACACAAGGATCACCAATGTTGAGCTCATCATTTTTGGGCTGCAAGAAAAAAAATACATGCACGTCGCAATAAGTGATCTTACTTTTCTCACAAATTATAGCGACTTCAAAATATGATTTTTTAAATTTATAACAATTCTACCGATTACAATAAAATCGTAAAGTACACTTATAGTGTAATCGGTTTTGCAAGTTGTTTTTCAAATTTTTTTGCTAATTTTCTTTGTGTCATTTCATCACGCTAAAATGTTTATATTATAAATGTCTGTGCATATGTTGACCTATGAATAATGAACCGGTTTCCGAGTCAACTTCCTTGAATAATAATAATCTATTGTGAAATTAGACGTCATATTCAGTGATTCGATATTCACGTAATCTGAACTAAAAGAAAATAACACGGTGTAAAAAATCGTCGATATACGCTACGATATGTGATAAGAAGCGATTTGTACAATAATCTTTAAACGCAATCGATATAAATCATTGAAGCAATGTTACAATTGATATTAAGATGATAACGTAATTAACATTCGGTGATATAACATGTCTTAACGTTTAATCGAATACAAAGTGACCAGTGCACAAAATATTAATTGTTGGTTTAAAAAAATTCTAAATTAATGTATGTAAATAAATTCTGATGACTAAGAGATTACCATTTTTCATCGAAGTCCGATTGTACTTTGTAGCGTGTGATATATAATTTCATCCAATTTTATTTTTAATAGGATAAAGCAACCATTTTTATATTATTTTATGTCTAGTTTATTATAATTTTCTGTGTGCGCATAGTCGCTGTGTTAATTATTATATTTAATTTTAATTTCAGTTTCTTATTTCAAACTTTATTTTTTTTATTAGAGAAATATCTTCTCATCCATTAGACACATATATTGCATTCTACATTGTGCCATACGACTTCTTCACGCACATTTTCGGTATTCGCGGCAGCTAGACATGTATTGTGTTGTAAATGTACGCCCGCGTGAGACGCCCGTAAGATGAATAGTTCGGGTGTACAAGAGAAACGTTAGAAACGACAAGAATTGAGAAAGAAAAACGAACGTGACGGCGTCGCGTTGCAGAGAAGGCGATCCAAAAGCACGTCGAATAAATAAAATTCATTGATACGAATACGATCTTATGAGTATTCTCAAAGTGAAAAGAATTCGTGTTACCGTCGCACGTGCTCGGACTGTTCGATAGTTTTTACTTTATTCGAACAGGGAGCATCGAATAGAGATCAGAGCGGAACAGAGAGTAGCATTAAAGACAAAGGGCGGATAAATTCGATATTCCTTTGTTTTTGAAAAGTACGAAGAGCAGCCGTATCGTGAAATATGAGTGTTCCGTCAAAGTTAAATATGAACAACTAAAACTGGCATACGATATTTTACTCGCGCGAGGAGAAATAATTAATTTATATATATATCTGAAAATTTATATTCTTATTTTCATCGCTTTATTTTTCCGCTAGTTTTTGCAAAAAAAATTGTTTCGACGAAATATGAATGCGTTCCATATATACTTCGAGAATGTCCGCGCGCGTATATTCTAACTAATCATATCTCAAGAATCTCTCCTTACAACGCGCTCTAGACACTTAATGAGACAACATTTAATTACTGCTAATTAATTGCACCGGTTATAACGAGTTAACTTTGGCTATCTAGAGGTTTCGCGAATATATGCACTGAATATATGTTCTTGGTATCGTATTTCGCTACGTGGATGCATGCAAGAAGCGCAAGCCACGTACACAATTGCAGTACGTGGATCGAAGCAAATAGGCAACCTGTTGCTGATTCGCTGGCGCTCGATTGATAAATCGAGTAATCGTGTTTTATGTATTTTACCAATCGTCACCCACACAACAACAGCAGCTACGTGCTGAAAATAAAGTTTTTTTTTTCAATAAAATCTGCCGCTTAAACTTTTCAAAAATATAAAAAACGAAACACAATATTAACTTTGATACATGCTTGATCCACACTCGTCAGGCAAACTTTCAAATTTTTGCAAACGCATTTTTTCCGATCTCTCAAGATTTTTGTAAATGCTTGCGAATAAATGTTTAGAAGGGCAAAAGCAATACAAGTGTAAATTAATTCTTTCCATTCTTTTATCCGCAATTAATGATATTTTAAAACCGTGTAAAATAAAATCGCAAAAATGTTTGTTAATATAAATTTTGTAGAAAGTGAGAAAATATAGTCAGTTAATCCAGTGTAGCCTTGAAAAAAAGTAGTCACAAAAATGCATACACGTGTTTTTAATAAATATATGTATATGGAAACAGATAAAGCGATTTTTAGCTTGCGTCAGCGTTGTTACGCTGTTACAATTTAAATAGGAGATTAAATTTAATTAATTTTTGATACCGTAATGCATATCCTGTCTTTGTAGAGCGCCAAAATTGATAAGTAAAAAGCTAGACAACGGCCGATTGTTTGCATTCGCTTATCGCGAGGCGAATGCATGTACGCAAATATTGGCGATGCATCAAATAGGTAATATGACACAATACTAAAAACGTGCGTTTTCACATATTTCGCGTCGATATATGTACTTATTGCTTACACTGCGTTATAACCGATACGTTTCGTGGAACCAACGCAGTAGTATTAAAAAAAAAAAAACTAAAAAAAAGCTACGCACAGTGATAAAAGAACAGTTTGACGATGAAAATAAATCGAAACTTCCGGAAAAAAGATAGTTCGACGCATCGTGAACTTATTAGAAAGACGGTAGTCGAAAGTAATTATAAAACTTTCGGTTCCGGCGATAGAGAGTGTTCTCAAAAGCGATTAAAGAAGAATGAATGTCGACGGTGAAAAGTTCTAATCGCATTTTTTATACAGCATAAAATATCCGCTATATAATAAAGAACGTATAACGCAAAGACTAAAGTTTCATATTATAAAATATTTATTAATTAACATACATATGTAAAAATATTTAAAAAATATAAAGAAATATTAATATTTTGATATTAGCACACAAAAGAAAGTACGCGAGTTGTATTAAAATACAAAAATTAAAAAAATATCTTCTAATAATAAAAATAATAATTATCTTCCATATTTATTATTATAATTTGTTATAAAAAATTAATAAATAAATTATAACAAGAATTAATGATAATTACTGATTATCGTTAAATAAATTAATAACGTTAGTGTTCATCATTATTCGCGATATTAATATTAATGATTAATTTATCATAATTAATAATAATATTGTTTTATATATGTCAATCACAATGTTCTGATTTCTCGGCTGAACCGAAAAGTTGTAGGAATGAGAAGACGACAGAAAATAAATATGAAAAATATCAACGGAATACATTGATGCACATTATGTCTTGAAGTCGCCTCAATCATTAATGCATGAGTGACGTTAAACTTACATAAGCGTGATGTATACATTGAAAGCTTTGATAGCATTTGAAGCCTCATTCTTTTTCCCTTTGAATCTGAATAATACATATCACATAAAAACTGACTCCGCATATATCATCTATGTTGCAAGTATGTGAAATGTTAATGAGTAAAATCCGAAACATGATGAGAGGGAGATGAGAGATGAGACTCTTCTTTCGTATAGTGCGAAAAAGATATGCAAGTATTTAAGATGTTCATAATTTTTCAAAGCACAAACATATATTTCGTTACTTTTTTTCTAGATATTTAAGATTTCTCTGGCTTACAGAAAATTTTATTTAATTAACGGATTAATTAAAATAATTAAAATAAAATGGCATTCAAGTTTAAAACAACTGCATTTAGTTCTATGATGTCGTACATAAGAAGCAAATTAATAAGATATAAAAACAAGATTGAATATTGCCAACAGCAATATCCGCAAAAGATTTCTACATGTAGGTATAACACATCTATCCTAGTGGTTATTGAAATAGTTTTTATATTCACGTCAGAAAAATGAGAAATTAAAGAAACATGATCAACTTTCATTCTCAAGTCGGCGTGCGAGTCTTCGAAAAGCGTCGCTTTTAAAGCCAGGAGCGAAGATTGCCGCTTCACTTTTGCAAAATAAATTATGGGCGACTGTTGATTCTTCTTGCAAATTCGCATTTCTGAAGACGTCAAATCCTAATAAGTTCCGATTGTGAATAAAATAACGGTGGTCCAGACTCTGCGGAACTCGATTGCAGATTGACGATTGCATGCATGTATTTTACGTATTAGAATTCCTGCATTATTATTCCTGCTTTTTTCTGGCTCGATTTTTACATGCGCGCAGTATAATCCTTGCTCTCAATCCCTCTCTCTTCTTTGCGCTATCTCGCTTTTTATATATACTATCGTTCTGTACTTCCACTGCTATCTATAAATTCCTTACAGAGTGCGTAGAAAATTATTTCCGATATCTCCGATCATGGAGCACAATTCATATTAAAAAGCTCGAAAGATTGCCAATTATCAATGCTCTATCAATAGCCGCCACATCACTTCCAATTAAATCTTTTTGCTCATATTTCGCGCGCGCGCGTGTGTGTGTGGGTGTGTGTATAAATTCCGTGTTGTATTCACGTGTCAGTTTAAATTTTAGTTAGTTCTAACAGGTCGAATATTATTCCTTCGCGCAATAAGGTTAGATATAGCATGTCTCACGAAAAGGGCATAAGGCAAGAAATTCGTCTCGTTGACGATAAGTCACTTAGGACATTACTTGCAAGAATTGTTATCTCGGTTCTTCACGTTTCTGACGTCACAAGCTCACACGGTTATTTGCGGATCTCAATGGTGAAAGTTTTCCTCTATTGGTAAATTCTGTTAGTCTTATTATATCTTGTTTATTGTACTTTATTAAATCATTGCGCTTTTTCACTGTAGCGTACACAACTTAAGAGTTTATTATAAACTTATTTTTTATTTTAAACATGAAGCTTCTCAAGAAATTTTGCAAAATGTGACACTAGTAATAATATCAAAATTTAACACAATATTCAGAATATCCCAAATTTATCATATCGTTTTTCTTAGAGTTATCTTATCAATTTGAAATTCAGTTTT